ACATGTTGCTGGGTACGTTAAGCTGCGGAGCAGCCCATACAGGGTCAGCTGCATTCACTGCACTGAATGTTTCTGAAGGCACTGCTAAGTGCTCTGGAGGATTTCAGGATGCACAGAGACATGGGCTGACCCTGCCATCTGGGTCTTAGAGCTTCACTGAAATATTATTCACTATGAAATATGACGTTGTGTGATTTCTCTTTGTTTTGCTCTATTAATTTGTCTTGTGCTAAAGTGTATCATGCCAGCTAAAAGTCAGAATTTGTCATCAGCTTGAACATGGCTGATAAGAAAAAAACTGACTCTAGGAAGGTTTTTTTATTATTTTTCATTTTTTTATGTATATATATAATTTTTCTGTGCCCCATTAGCAGAAATATCTGCAATGTTTAAGGTTTAATAAACCCTCAAAGCCCAGACTGCTGGCTTCTTGTCAGTGCAACATGGAAATCATTAGAAAACATGTACATCTATAATGCAAATTCAAAGTTGAATCTGTTTGGTGGTCCCTGTAGAAGAGGAAGTTTTATCTATCTTTCTGTAGGCACCAGTATATAATTTCTTCATGTGTAGCTGTTAAGAGGGCATGCATATAGATGAGTTCTTAGATGTCTGATAGCAATTTACTTACCCAAAGATCCCATTTGCATGTGAGAAAGTAGATGCATATAGAGTCTGGGTTTTGTTTTATGCTTACATTGAGCCTTTAAGTCACTGCTGCTGAGCACATCCTTGGAATAATGAGCAGCATTTGCAACTTCTTCCCCTAAAAATTTATATCACTTCTGCTGGATTAACTCTGTAGAAAGTTACAGGGAGTATGATAATGTATTCTGCATTTGGATGAGTACCAAAAGGAACGGACAGCATTGAAGAATGCATGTTGCAATGATGAAACGAGTGCTTTGGCTAAAATCCTTGTCCATGAAATGAAGTAGTGGTTCTATGTGTTACTAATGAAGCTGAGATTTGACCCTCGGTGTTTACCCCTAAGATCTATCCAAACAATTTTTTCAGACCTGTGGCTGAGGGCAGCTCCGTGATCATTACTGAGTCCTTGCTTTTAATTCCATAGAATGGTTAAAATTATATGGCAAAGTTTGTACCTCACAGTCTCTTTTGCCCCAGCTCTTGCAGTACCAGTATTTTTGGGCTGACTGAAACATTTGTAGACTGAATGCATCACAGCTTGAGCACAGGTTGTATATTACCTTATTGTGATGAACTAATCCAGAGCTTCCATGTGCTCTCATGGTTGTCTGCAGTACAATAACACAGGATTTTTTTACATAGAGTCTGGTTGAGTTTGGCCATGTAAGGTGTACTTTGGGATTTATTTCAATATTTTCAATTAATGGGTAAAACAAAACCTCACAGAAATGGTAGCTGTTGAGTTGAATTGCTCTGTCCTCGTTGGTTACTACCTGTAGGCCTAAGAAAGCAGCTACAAACCATCTAACTGAAGAGAATTACTTGTCAAGTCACAAAGAACGGGAAGAGAAAACTTAATACACCAAAATGTTTCAAAGTATAACTGTTGCTTGATATGGTATGTTATATTGAGCTGTGTTCACTAAATTAAAGAATAGCCATTACATAAATCAGCTCTGCAGCATATTTGGAAGCAGTGCAAGATTAACTTATTCTGATATGTTTCTGAAAAAAACAACCCTGAAATGGCTAAGTCATTTCAGATAAAAAAATATATTTAGATAATAGGTAATTTCTTTCAATCTTCACGAGAAAGAAAGCAAGTTTCAGATTAAATGATCAATTTCCCTGCCTTTGGTTATTAAAATGTATTTTTCTTAATAAGTGTTGGAAGAAAAAGTGAGTAACTATATTTCAGTTTATTGCAGATGCGCATAAGCCTAACAAAAACATCTTTGAAATAGTATCATCTATATCTAAAGCACAAGTGCAAGCAACAGTCAATCACATTTTCATTCCAAGGATTCTTGGATAGAAGACTTAATTGTTTGCTGATGAACAGAAATAAAGAGATTGTCATTTTAAAGAAAATCTTAGTTTATCACCAGCCTTGTTTTGAATTTGGATTTTTGTACTGTAATTCTGACACTGAATATTAGATCCAACCAATATCTGGACATATTGCACAGGCAAATCTGTAAATATCATACTACATAATAGTATGAGTAATAATATCAAGTCCTTTATGCCTTGATATATGATTTGGATCAGATTAGAAGTTTTCTGGTGACATGTTTTTTTCTTGGAAAAGGCAGATATGTTGACATATTTTCATGGGTAAAGTACTTGTTCGAGTTAATGTTCAAGAAAACATGAAGCTGTGATGGGCTGCTTGCTTGTTGGGAGTCTGGGGCCACCTGGATGCATTGCTTGAGAAGGAAAGCAACTGAAGAGCAAAGGGTTTGAGAGTAAAGTCAAAGCCTCCTGCTTTCATGTGACAGGGCCAGGAAGATTGGCAAGATGCGAATCCCAGCTCCCAGATTATGACCAGCAGTAAGACCTGGATGTCTGCAGACTCCCATTTCTACTTTTCAGTCAATTGGGAGAGCACATTGAAAAACACAAATTAAGATCAGAAATGTTCTTTAGAATGTAAGCATCAGTCCCTCCCATTACAAAGAGGAGTAGCTGGGACCATTGAGCTAAGAAGACCCTGCTGTAGTCCTTAAAATATTTCACAGAGTTGGCAATGTGTGATGAATAATTTTAATTAGCCAAAACCGGGCTAATATATGTGAACATCCTTTGTGTATCCCAGACATTTTACATTTTGCAAATTGTCTGCTTCTGCCAGTATATCAACCTATCAGATAACAAAACTACCACATAAGGTAGTTCTGCTGTAAACTGAATGTTTTACTTTTCATCAAAGAAAGTTTAAAAAAAAAGGGAGAGTATAAGAGCTCATGGAAACCATTGTGATAATACATCTAACAGTTTCCTGAACAAGAGTACACATCCTGCTGGATTGGAGTTTGAATAAATTCATGGTTGTCTGACCCCATCTGAGTAGACATACCCTAGATCCTCACCATTCTTTGCCCTTCAAATACCGATAAATCTAGGGAGGAAGGATATCCCTACAATACAGGATAATGCAGCTGTAGTTAGTGGAAATGCTAGAACCTCCTTGATATGAAAACTGTGTACTTCAAATAAGTGCATTAGTGCATAGCACAAATATTTTTCCATCCCAATCATAACGTGGAAACTATTTAAACAGAAAACACTCTGAGCCTTTAAAACAGTTTGAATTCTGCATTATTTCTTATTATTTATCCCTTTGAGAAATTATACATTCTCATCTTTACTCAAAGACTTTCAACAGAGCAACTTCTCTCCAGCATGTACTATGGTCACAACCATTGCTGAGGTGACAATAGAAAATGATGTTGCAGCAGCATCATTTTGTGGGTTTTTTGCAATTTCCCCATGTATTTGTTGATCTCACTGTGTGTTAACTCTGTTGCTGGGTTAACACTATCCTAGCGTAGAAATAAAATCCTGCTATGTAATCTCTCATGCTTGATCCAATCAGTGTTATTTAAAGGTATGGTCAAAGGCACGAGATGTTTGTCTACCAGTAAAGAACATGTTTTCACAAATATTCCAAAATAAAACAGTGGAAAGTGTGAATCATAGAAGGCAATACTCCTCTTTTTCTTATTTTTCTGTTTTTGGTGCTGTTGTTGTTGTTATTTTTATTTGTTTTAGGGTTTTTTTTCTGTGGATATAAAAATCCAACACATATCACACAAAAGATGTGCAGGAAGTCTGAAAGTAATAACAGTACAACCAAGTTTGTTTTGTCATCTGCAAAGATTAATGGGCATAGTACACATGGTTGCTCAGAAGGGAGAGGGGACGGTTCAAGATTAGCACTGTTTCATTAATTCCATTTTTAGACTTTTTGCACTCACCTACAGTTGGCAGGCTTTTCTAAATAATGCTACCAGACTACAAAAAGGTGCAAAATGAAGAAAGGAGTGGTTCAATAAATAACTGAAGTCAACATTTACTGAATATAACATTACTTATGACACACAGTGTTTAGAGTATTTAATCAGGTCTCTTTTAAAAGCAATTGATATTCTTGGTAGTCTGTGCATAATGTTGTCAAGAGAGTTCGAAGGATGTTAACATTTCATTACTCTTGTCATTGATTTCTCTCTGCTTTCTTCACAACAAAAGTCAAAACGTGACCTCTTATTCCACTGAATTAGTTCCAGAGCACTTGGCATTATTGACCTCCTAATGAAAATTAATGGTAACTCTTTTGATTCAGGCTTTCAAGTAGGCACACCAAGCACATTTGAAAAACAGGCATGGTTATTTCTCATATTGAAGTGAAGTAGCACACTATGAAGTAATGAAATGTACATTAATGCAACATTAAATTTGTAAATGTAAGCACGCAGAATTCAAGAGACTTAAACTGCATTATCCAGAGTTGATGCTGCAAAGATTTAAGCTTGGCAATAATTTCAGACCTGGAGAGCCAAAGAGTTTTACAAGGCAAGTTACACATACACTTAGAACACTACAGCCTCAGGTACTAAATTTATACTAAAAGTCTGGCAAGATTGAAATGTTTTTACTATGCAGCAGAGACAATTGCACATTATCTTAGATATCTCCATGATTTTCTTTCCCCCTTTAAAGTTAGAGAAGAATGCAAATTCTTTTCAGTGACTTTTGTGTTCATGAGCTGTCACTCTGCAGCTGAGTGGATTTCCTTCATCCAGATTCTTACACAAATGTTTGTGCACAAACTGACTTCTGTGTATGGATATGGACCCCTCTTCCTTGCATCTGTGTAAATAAGGACTACTTCTACAGGAGGAAACAAAGCTGAATGGATTCATATCTGGACATGGGGTGAAAGCTTACCTCTTTATCTAAACAGTTTCCTATTCTGGGAAAACTTTCCCAGAAATAACACCTGGGGAGATATCTGGGAAAGCTGCAAAAATAATGAATAAACTAACTTAATTTGTCTCTTTCCTTAGACAACAAAGACTATGATGCATATCTATCTTATACCAAAGTGGATCCTGATCAGTGGAATCAAGAAACTGGAGAAGAAGAAAGATTTGCTCTTGAGATCCTACCAGATATGCTTGAAAAGCATTATGGATACAAGTTGTTCATCCCAGACAGAGATTTGATTCCCACAGGAAGTAAGTCGTCCTTATTCTCGTGTGTTTTCTGAACAGCCAATGCAGTGATTGCAGTGATTGTTTGAGTCTCTTTTCTATACCTACTCCTTCAGAATGCCATCTTTTTTCCCTTGTCTTAGAGGGTGGCAAAGATAAGCCAACATACTTAATGTATATTTCCAAGATAAGAGGATTATTATTTAGTAATTGCATTATTCTGGTTGAAGGTGAGATAGTGCAGAAAGGGCATTGCATAAATAACGGTAATGAAAGACTCACTTTTTCATTGTTTTTTGAGAGCTTGCATCTCTAAGAATGAATACAGTTTGTTGTTTTCAGTTCCTTAGAGATTGTTTGGAAAGATATCCATAATTCTAAGTATTACAGAAATTAAGACACAAAGGAAAAAGTTGTGTTTGGACTAAGGCAATGGTTGACTAATAAAATTTTCATCAGAGAAAAATAGTGAATTCTGTCAGTGGCCACTGCAGATAAATGTGTAGTGGATGTACTTGATCATTCTCAGACACTGAAAATTAGAATTCATTGGTACAAATAGATCTTTTTCATGTTTCTCTCACCTATTCCAGCAGAAGTACAGTAATGCTTTTTAAGTTGTAGTATTCTTCATAAGCTCACTGTAACCATATAGACAGCTACTAAGTTCAGTATCTTTTTCTAAAGGTAATAAGGGATGCTTGGTATAGGAAAAGCTCAAACAGTCTCGTGGATATTTTTTAAACCTACAGCAAACTAGATACTAATTTGCAGGAGACAACACTGTTGTTGTATGTGGTGGGGTCATGGAAGGAAAAGCAGAATCTAAGCCTACCATACCCCACAGAGTATCATTTAAGTTTGAGACTGAACTCCTAAAGCACATAGATGCTGCTCTGCTGTCTATCTGGGTGACTTTGCCTTTTTAAAATAAAAAATCATGATGGACACAATTGTTTCAATACAGATAATGATACAAAACTACAACTCACGAACAAACACAATCCATAGCACAAGTGGGAGTAGATGTTTCTCAGGATCAAAGAATGTTTTAGGTTGGAAGGGGCCTCTGGAGACCACTTTGTTCAACCTCCCTGCTCAAGCAGGGTCTCATAGAGCAGGTTGCCCAGGACCATGTTCTTCCAAGCCAACCTGGCACATTTGCAAGTGATGTTTTTTCAGTGAGAACTTCTGGGAGCAGGGATTTGCCTCTGTTGTTTCTAGTAAGTCTGTGAGAGCAGACTGTTTTCTTAGATTGGTTTTTGAGCAGTTGTTTTGTTTTGTAGCCTACATTGAAGATGTGGCAAGATGTGTAGACCAAAGCAAGCGACTGATCATCGTCATGACTCCAAGTTATGTGGTAAGAAGAGGTTGGAGCATCTTTGAACTGGAAACAAGGCTTCGAAATATGTTAGTCACGGGAGAAATCAAAGTGATACTGATTGAATGCAGTGAACTACGAGGAGTTATGAACTACCAGGAGGTCGAGGCCCTAAAACATACCATCAAGCTCCTCACTGTCATTAAATGGCACGGACCAAAGTGCAACAAGTTGAATTCCAAGTTCTGGAAACGTTTACAGTACGAAATGCCTTTTAAGAGGATTGAACCCATCACAAATGAGCAGGTTTTAGATGTCAGTGAGCAGGGGCCCTTTGGGGAACTGCAGACAGTCTCCGCGATTTCCATGGCTGCTGCCACCTCTACTGCTCTTGCCACTGCCCATCCAGACCTGCGCTCCACCTTTCATAACACATATCACTCACAGATGCGCCAGAAACACTATTATCGAAGCTATGAATACGATGTACCTCCTGCCGGCACCCTGCCGCTTACCTCAATAGGTAACCAGCACACCTACTGCAACATCCCTATGACACTTATAAACGGGCAGCGGCCGCAGACAAAAACTAACAGGGAGCAGAACCCAGAAGAGGCTCACACAAACAGTGCCATACTGCCCCTCCTGCCACGGGAGACCAGTATATCCAGTGTCATCTGGTGACCGAGATGCAAGGGGCCGTCGACCCCCTTGAATAGGAGCAGAGTCTGCAGTCTGGTGCCTGGAACTACATCCTCGACTGCTGCTGTTAAACATGCATTACAATCGATAACATACGAGGAAAAACAGGGTCTTGTACATATGTTTTTGCAATTTCTTTGTAGCATCAGTCTTCCTGTTTTACCCATGTCTCTTCCCATTCACATTTTCGACTTTGTTTTATATGTCATTAGAATTTGTATATTTACATTTTTTTAAAAGAAGAGACTGCTGTATAGATAGGAAACTATTTTGCTTCATTAGTATAGTTTTAGTTTTTTTGTTTGTTCGTTTTTAACCTCTCTTGGGAATGCTTGGACAAAGCTATGTTGATATCAGAAGCACCATCCATTTTGTTGGCCTGCCTAGCCTGATTCCTGAAGGCCATGCCTGCTGCAGCTCACTTCTTTTGGAGAGTATTTGTTTTTAGAAGGACCCCATCCCTCACTGAGATCTCCAGTTTCATTTCTACTCCCGTAACGTGCACTGCTCCTTCCCTGCCCTTACAAAGACCCCAATTTGGGGTAACACTACAGTCTGATCATCTAACATGTAACTTGGTAGATACCTGCCAAACCACAGAATATACCCAATCTGTATCGGTTGCTTCACAGTAGTCACTACAGAGTGTGTAGAAAGTAGAGCCGGTTTGTTTTTTGTTTTCTTGGGTTTGTTTTTTAATTATTATTTTATGAATGAGTTGATTGTATTACTTTTATAAATATAAAAGCAAACCCTATTTTTAACACATCCTGGAAAAGTATCAATGTGGTTGTGGATTTTATTTTTCAAGCATTTATTTTTTTCTTTTCCCCCTTTCAAAATCCTGCAAATGACGTCATTTGCAGATGTCAGGCAAGTAAGACAAGTGAGGCAATAGGCACTGAAGTGCAGAGAGTCCTGTTGATATGTACAGTGATGACTTCCAAACCAAAGGGGAATAAAAAGACAGTGTTGTAGACGGTTTGTCATTTTGTATTATAGAAAGTGTTATTTTCAAAAAAAGTAAGAGCAAAACATTATTTTGCTGTGGATTACAGAGTCCCCTTGTATTTTAATGTTCAAAAAAATTGTATTTGCTTTAAAATGCTATATTCAGGATTAAGAACTCTTCTTTCATTTGGTTTTAGCTTGTAACAATAAATAAAACTTTATTAATTTCAACATGATTTCAGTAAGAACTCAGGCAGAAAAAATGACATGATACCAGAAATATAATTGTTTTCAGAATAAACTTTATTTATACAAAATTAATATTTAAGTCAGACCTGGAAGTATTAAAAACAATTTATTCACTTTAATGAATAAATAAATTAGTTTTATTTTTATGTATGATTCTATCTTTGAGGAGTTGCAAATAATGCATGTACCATGGCTGACAGGGAAGAAAAACAACCACCACTGTGTTTACATCCAGACATCTTTAAGACCAATTAAATAAGTACCTTGCTCATATTTATGTTTTAAATAATGGAAAAGTTCTTTCTGGTTTTAGAAAGAGAGAAGAGTGGTGCAGCTCTCCAACATATTCAGGCTAAGCTCTCTGCTAGTCCCTCCTAGCAGAAGCAGAAGTAGGGTTGCTGGCTGCAGCACACTGTCATGTAGTCATGGGTTTGATTTACCCTGGTAGAAATGTAACTGGTGTCCTGGCAAACAGGCCTTATGGTCTATTTATGTAATTAATTAGCTTTAGGTACTTTTATGGCAGCTGAATGATATTGGCCAATATAATGAATGTGTGGGGTTTGTTCATCCTGATTGTCACAACGAGAAAAGTATAGCTTATAATATTTTGGTCTTCTTAATGAGAAGTGAGCGGGGCAACTGCAGTTTGGGGGATGTTTGTGGGAGTAATCCAGAACTGACAGTGTGGGAGGAAATGACTATGCTCCTGTTGTGAAAGTCAAGAAATCTCAGTATCTGCATGAGAAGCTAATAGACCTTTGAGATGTGCACTGATTTTTATTTGCTAGAAATGTTTATTTCTCTGCGATTTTGCTCAAGCCCTTTTCTACAATCTGTTCTTTGTTACGGTGTCTCTCTCTGGACATGTGCCAAACATCCACAAAATGGAAATGAAGCTGCCAAGTCAGATAAAATTTTAAGAGACTTTTGCACATTTGGTTATTTTCATAGTGTAAGAAAACTATTATTTATTTGCTCTTACAGGCACCTGTCAGGCATTGATGGGATTTTCCTTCATTCATCTGGTTGCCAAATACCCCAATATCCTCTGAAAGCAATGCATTATTGTTTTCCCCTTATCTCACCTTTCTATGCCCTGGGGTAAAGATTGGGATGTGGAATAAATGTAGGATTTAATTATCTGACCACAGTTACTTTCAGACAATTGCTAGGTGTTTTCTTAGCCACATTGGAAGTACTTTTATGTTGTTCTATTTTTAGATTTAAGCACTTTGAAAAGCATGATTCAGGGATTGACAGATACTATTTGATATTCACAATACTTAAAAAAAGTTTTTCTTATAGTGCTTTGTCATAATCTCAAATATAAGAAAAACAAACAAACAAACAAAAAAAGAAATAAAAGGAGAAGCTGTCTATGGCTTTAGAAAAATTCCTCCTTAGTATTCCTCTTCTGTGAACAGCTCGATGTGGGGAACAGGGAAGGAAACTGTTGTGTGCTCACGTGCTCTTTCTTGGACAAAAATTCTAGTGGAACGCAAAATAAAATGGACAAAAAAACCCCAAAACCAAAGCCAACAAAAACTGTCATTGCCCTAGTGCTTAGGCTCCATCATTTTAGGTGAAAGTATTCCAGTTTCTGACAATGCAGCCTGAACTGTGCATGCAATAGCCACATATAAGGTTTAGCCATAAGCAAATAGCACTTTATTTTAAAAACTGCACAGTGTGATGATCAGAAAAACTTACTCTGCCTGGTCAGTAACTTTGGGTCTGTATGTGGTTTCTATGCATGTGAATTATCCAAGTGTGGTGCTCCATCTTTATAAGGCTCTCTCTAATCAGGGTAGTCTTTGTTATAAAACTAAAGGACTTTGTTGCACAACTTGTGTAAATTCAGTATATAGGCTCTCCAGACAGCATTTATAGCTGGACAGAAACGGGAGACTGTATAGTATGCAGCTAATTATTTTGAAGGCAAAGTGTGTTGCTGGGTCTGATTCTGTTCTCAGTTGCAGCAGCATGATTTGAGAGTAAATCTAATAAAGTTGAATGAGTGCAAGAGATTGATTTCTGTGGGAAAGGAAAATTGGAAAAGCAAAGAGAAAAGGAATTCATATTTGCAGTTGTGACAAGCTGAAATCTTGGTTGCAAGGAAAGCAGCAGCAAATGTCTTCTGAATTTTAGTAGGGACCCAGTTCTCACCTGGCAGCCAACATCAAACACTTTCAATATGATCTGGTTCAGAGCTAAATACTGTTAGGCTTAGATGCAAACTAAGATTTTTCTATTACTGCACAGCTGTGAAAACCATGTGTGTGTTACATAATGGGTGATAATCAGCTTCAAAATAATTGGAAAGCTTGTTATACCCAACTGATAAAAAATCACGAATTTTTATTTGGATATTGAGCATTAATGACACATTTAAATTATAGATAAAGCAGTGGGATTTGGGGAAAACTGGCCTGGTAAACAGGATTTCTTCATTTTTAAATTAAAAAAAAAAAAATAGAGAGAAAAAAAAGAAGAAGAAAATGTCAAGCTAGCAAGCCTAAGGAAAGCTTAATTAAAATCCAAAGAATAAAAAAAATCACAGCAGTAAAGTAAGTTCAAAAATAAAAAGAGGCCAATGGAGAATAAAGAGCAAAATACCCACCTGCTTTTTGACTGTATTGTGGTTTCTTTTGTCATGCAAAGCTCTGTACTCTGGCTGACCTACATCAAGCAACTGGCTTTTTTGGAGGCCATCCAGATAGACCAGCAACACAAATATGTCCCTGTACATCTAGTACGCTTCTGAATGATTTTTTTACTTGTTGATAGTTTAGCACAGAGAGATTTTTATTTACCTTATTGTGATAAAGAGGATGGCAGAAATCTGCCAGTGCTAAAAAAATCTCCGTAACAGACTTAGGTTATTATCTAGAGTAACTATATTCCTTAACACCCACCCGTTATCTGATTTGCTGTTATTAGAACACTTTTTTAACCCAGTTCTCAGCTGAGAAATAGATTAATGTTGCTGGTAACAGAAAAAATGTAAGCAATCTCATAACAACAAGTCTCCTTGTATAATGAATGCTGCAGGTTCCCTTGCATTTTTTTTTCATATAAACACATCTCCTGACCTAAATAGCCCACTGAGTGGAGGCTAAAGAACACCATTGTGTCTTTTAATTTGAAATTCATTTAATTTAGTATGGACACTGAGCTGTTGTTTTTGATGTAATTTTCCTGGGCTATTTTCCATTGGCTCTGGCTATATCCTCCAAGAAGATGTGTTGGCAGCATCACACTTCTCCACGTACCCTTGACTTGATGTTTCAAAACTCAGAGCCGTTGCCCTGGGGAGCGAAATTGATAGAAATATTTCAGCTGTTAAGAGTTTTCCTATGCCTATTGTTTGTTTAACTTCTGCTTAAGACAAAGTTAAATCTTTGTTCTGGATTAATAAGCTCTGCGGGTAGAAGGCCTAGAGTCCACAGGGTCATGAAGCAGTCAAAGAAGAAATTACAAAGGCAGGTCTGATACCTTCTTTGGAAAACATAGAAATTCTGGAGCTGTTCAGATTACTAAAAAATTAGTACATTTTGATTACTTCTCTTAAAGGGAAGTATTCAGCTTGTAATTACAAACAGCCTCATTTCAAATGCTTATTACCATTCTTACAGTAAATATCCAATACCTTAAATAACATAATTTCAGAAACATTTAATAGTCAATTAAAAATATTTTTATTTGGGGGGATTAAAAGCAACATGATTGTCTACAATCTAAATGTTAAATAAAATAGATTATCTAGTACTGATCTTATGGGAACTACAAACATTGCTGGGTCACTAGCATTAGAAAAACAATTTGAAGTAAAAATTGAGAGCTAAGAATTTGATGAGGATTTTATTGACATTTTTATAAAGACATGTCTCTTAACCATCAAGATATGACAAAAGGAACACACAAATTATTCAAAAAATAAATTTTATTAGCTTTTTAACCTTATCTTTCTCTCTTTATCAAATATTAGCTCTTCTTAAAAATACAAAATCATTCAGGAAAAATTAATTCTTATCAAACCCATACTCTCAAACACATTCAGTGACAGATAAAGAAGTGCAAGCCAGAGGGAGGGGCTCCACTGCATTGCTGTGACTGAGAAGCTCCACAGTGGGGAGAACATGTGTGCCTGTGCACAGAGAAGGAGAGCCCAGGCCCCTTTGGCCTCGTGTTTAGTTACTCCTATGACAGGTGGATGCAGAAGGAGCCATAGACTCAAATATCACCACTGCCCTACATGCTATAGGCAGCACACAGGGAAGGTGGGTAGTAAGTCTTGATGTTGACACCAAACTTGAGAACTATTAGATGTCGAGGATACTCTATTGCAAAGCAGCCGGAAGAGCGGAAACAGCTCTGAAACAGTGTTTTCCATTTGTTCCACGTGCAAAGTAAAAGGCACCGTTGAGCAGAGAAAGAGGTCAGCTTGCCGGGTTAGTGTGCAATCCACTAATAGGAAATTCCCATCTCAATCAGCTAACACCACACCTGAGCACTCTCACAGAAATTTCCATCCTATCCTATCCTATCCTATCCTATCCTATCCTATCCTATCCTATCCTATCCTATCCTATCCATCTACCTGGCAGACTGCATTAGAAGTAAAAGCACTCAAAGCTTGCCGTGAGCCCTCAGGATGGGCTACACATGAAAACTCCTTGCAGAGATGTTTAGGGTGACTAGATGTCTTCTCTCCTAAGAAGAGACTTACAAGAGCAAAGCTTTGATTTGTAAAAAGTTCGGGGTTTTTTTTGTTCTCAGCACACCATTTTTTCAAATCCACTTAGAGCGCTCATATGGAGTAACATCCTGATACTATTCTGACCCTCTCTGAGGTAAAAAGAAAGTCTTGACAATGTCAGTTATTAGCTCAAAATACGTCATTAAGCTGCAGAGTCTGCACACGCACTTGAAAAACCAAAATAAATAAAGAAAAGCAAATTAGCAATGTAATTACTAAAACTATTTAAACTTGGTTTTAGAAATTTCTTTTTCAGGGAAGATTGTTTTCTCCTGGTGTTTTGTAGGAAGTTATGTAAGAGACTTTTAAAAATTTTCTCTCCGTTCTTTGCATGGCAGGTAAATCACAGAGAGATTTGTTTAGGAAATCCCACTCTTCATTGTAAGTTTAAAACTCAGGTGGCAATGAATTTGCAGACATAGAAGAAGTTGTTTTCCAGAGTTAATACCCTCTGGTGAACAGCTCACTGCAGGCCTAATTGAGTTCTTAGGAACATTTCAGTAGAAAATGTAAACAATTAGTGTCGTATGTTTACCTTCAGCATCACATTAGAACATTGTACATTTATCTTCTTAAGACCCAGGCAACTTCAAATGGAACAATTATGTAAGTACAAAGCAGTGAGGAGAGCAGCGACACAGCTGTCTCTCCACCTATCTTAGCAAAATAGTTCAATGACGTCAGGCTCCTTCTCTGAGATCACTAACCTATGCCTACCTCAACAAAATACATGAATCTGCAAAATGTGCACATATCCAGGAAAAAATTGTTGCAATAAGCACTCTCAAATCTTAGTTATACCACAAAAAGCACTTTATGCAATTTTATTCCTATACATATGTATTTTAACTTGTAATCATTTAATCATAGAACCATAAAACAAAATAAAATATGTAGCACTCTCATAAAAAATCAAGAAAGTCCCAAAAATCTGGGTTTATTCATAGGATGACATTTCCCATGTGCTTTAAGAAGATGATGAACTTGTAACCAGTCCATTGCTAGGGGCACTATGACACAGGTACAGAGCTAGGGATGACACAGGGTGAGTGACACAGGATGGGAGAAGTATAGACAAGATGTTTGCTGCTCATGTCATGACCAGGTAGGTGTACTCAACTAGCTCTCATTTAGTCCTGCTGTCACGGGAGATTACAGATGTCTTTTGGCTGTAGGTCACTAGATAACCAAATTTACCAGGTACTTCCTTCACCACCTGTTTGTTATCTGAAGCCATTTGTTAGAGGTAGGAAACATGTTTTTCTAGGTCATAGAGTCTACCTGAATCTATGTGAATATCTGCCAGAGTTCCTATCTGTAAATAATTATTAGTGTCAGCACAGTTCACCTTGTATTTTCTCCGCTTCCCTTTTCACTCTTCTAAACAAAAGAGATTGTGAACAGCTGTCAGGGCCATATAGCAAATACCATTCCTACACTTTTTTTTAAATTGTTATTATTGTTAGGTGTTTGAAGAGTGAGAAGTATTGGCAAAGACTCTATCTGCTTGAAATGACACTTGCCAAGTTGTTCTTTAGGGAATGTTGAAGAAAATTCCCTGTTTAGTCACCTTGGGCACCTTACCTGCTATACTACTTTCAAGATCCCCTCAAACAGCAATCTAGAGCATAAGGGGTTGGAGACAGACCGACATGTACATGCTTATAATTTTCAAGAATATTTTCATTATTTGTAGCTCCTTGAATTGTGTTCTTGTTTGTTGTGCTTTGCTTTGCTTTATTTTAATTTTCTTTATTTCATAAGGAGACATCAGGACTGAGCTACCATTGCACTACATTAGTGGTGGCATAGCCATATTAGAAAGAATGGAGTGGAATTACAGAGAACAGGAGTAAAGTAGTCATAAACTAGGCTGAAATCTCCTACCTGTGCACAGAGCAGCTGGATCTCCTTAGCTCCCAGTTCAGTCAGTTCTCCACTTCACAGGCAATCCAGCAAAGAGGTTTTGTAAGGGAAGATGATGCTTTCATGTGCCATTACAAATGCAGTCTCAGGCACAGTGAGTCTGATGTCGCATTCTCACTGAGCAATGAGCCTTCTTTGAAAAACCTGAGGTTCCCTTCTCATTTCAGCCTTCTGATTGCTATCTGTTGGCTTTTTAAGGTTCTCCAAAGACTCAAATAATAAAATAAAATAAAATAAAATATTTTAAAATAACGGTGAATCTATGTAAATGTAGGAAATCATCACTGATTGTTTTAAATAGCTGACTAGAACACAGATATCTGCCCCTTTTTCCTGTAACTCTTCCTGTTCTTCTGCTCTAGAGAGTCATCGGCTGTAACTTATTTTACGTGCCCCATAAAAATATGATCTAAGGGTTTTTATTATTATATTAGTCAGCAAAATCATAAATAGTTTAATCTAATATCTTCATCATAAATATTTGCAGATTTGTAATGGTCTTTATTTTATATCTGTTCAGCAGCTAACAAAGTTCAAGTCAGCAGCTGCCCAGTGTTGGGCAGTGGTAAAGCAGCCAACAGAGTTAGTGAGTCAAGGATGCTAAAAGACAAAATATAATCTTAGCTCATACAGTAAAATGGAGTTAAATTATCCTTCCAACATTGCATCTAGATATCCACTGCTGTGACTCACAGCAATTTTGAGTGGCACATCAATTTTGCAAGAACAGCGCACTATTAATTCTGTGCAGCTACCAATGTCGTGTTGCTATTCATAATATATAAGCTCAAGCATATGTACCATTTAATAAGTAAATATTTTTATCAGCATACTGCACTTTCTTCAGATGAGAAGAAAACAAGAAGACCAAAAAGATCTTTAGAAGAAAGAATATGTGTCTAGTTGCAATACTAGAAGAAAAATGTCACTGCCTTCTCTTTCATAAAAAAAGCTGCAAAAGTAATATAAATAAAGAAACAAAAGTCTGTGGAAAATTGTTTGATTCTAATGTCAGCTGCGGCATCTTTTTTACCAGCTAGAATTTGTCTAGTGGATTTAATTTCTTTTAATTTTATTCTGTTACTTTAACCATGTCAGGAGAAGCTGACTGTCCTTAAGCAGAGTGCACAACACAACTCAAGCAGTAAGAGTCCCTTCTTGGAAACACAGTGTTTAAAGTTAATAGCTGGATAAGCATCTTGATTAAGTACTTTGTTAATAAAGCTCTCAGCTGGCCTTCCGTAATCCTGAGAACCACCACAGTAAAAATGCTCTGTAGCTCCTATTGAATACATTCGCATAAAATGAATATGTAAATGTATACTTACTATCTTTTAATCATTTTGCATTGACAGAATGAAACAAGGAAGTGCCATGCTAGGCTTTGGGACCTTTCATCTTAATTTGCTTAATAGTTTGTAAAAGTAAAAAATATTTCTATTGAAATCAGCAGAATTAACGTTGTGTATAACTGGTGCAAAAAAAGGAGCAGAATCAGGCCCAGAATTTCTGAACATAAATTTTTGTCTATTCTACAATTTAATTGAAGATTCAGCATCACTGCCTTTTCCAGGTGTCCACTACTATTGCCATATAAACCATAGATTAACATGCATTCTTGTCAAGGTTTTCTTTAAGGCTACAGATATGACTATGAACTGGACAATATGTCTCTTCATATACTTTGTTCAAAATCAGTTAAAATAGAAGCACTAAAATTAAGTAGAAATACATCAATCTATATTTATGCCTACTGTATATTAAATATTTTACCTAAAGAGATTAACTTATATTTATTTTTTAAAAAATTAAATGGGTCATAGCTGAAAGGAACTGCATTTTTGTAGTAATACTATGCTTATGCTGAGAAGCAAGAGGGTCGTGATCAAAATATTACCTAGTTTCAGTGTATGTTACTTTAAAAAGAACATGTTTTATGTTATCCTAACTTTTGGAAAATTCACCAAGCCTGGTACAGAAAGAAATGAACAACTTATTGTAATAACATATTAAAAAATTTTGTATTTTCATCAATTTTTATTCTTACAGGAAAAAATACATCACTCATTAAATATGAATGCTGCACATGTTAGCAATAGAAATATTGATTTTTGTAACTTTGATTGCACTTGCCTTAACTTTTCCACACATATAAACAAACACAAATAACACACAGAGGGAAAAAAAGAGGATTAAGGGAAATAAAACCCACAAAAGTAGGCAAGTTTTAGATTATTTAATGAATAATGACACATGAACATATTCAGTAGAATCCTTGTAAAGAGCACATGATGCTGTAGGTTTGTTAAAGCACAAGGTGTACTTTGTCTAGATTAAAAAAAAAACAACCACAAAACCAAACAAAAAAAAAAAAAAAAAAAAAAAAAAAAACAAACTTTTGGTGTGACTTTGCTTTAGGTTTAAAAAAGGTTGGATGTTTAAAAAAAAATCTTTATTACTTGCATATGAATATTTTTGTATAATAATATATGAAGAAGGTTTTAAAACAAAACAAAAAACCCTACTTGCTTTATAGTGTGTAAATTTTAGAGAAAAATAAACAGGGTATGTGTCCAGTTTGTAAAACAATGTTCTCCTTTCAAGATTACTCTTTCACTGGCTAAATGCAAGGTTATGACAACTTGAAATACTTTTTTTGTGAACTGACAAAGAAAAAATAAAGCAATGTGAATAATTTGCGTATGCAAACTTTTTTTAGAAGAAATTGTTGCTAGTAGCAATACAAATTTAACAGTGTGATAGGGAAGGCTTTGAAGATTCCTATTCAGTGATTTGAGGAGAAGGACATACTGAGCCAGAGCATACGCACTGGATAAGCTGGCACAGCTCCACTGGAGGCAATGGAGCTGCTCCAGTTTACACCAGCTGAGAATCTGACCTTTTGCTTAAGAATACTCTTAACAGTAAATATCCCTGCATTAATATTTTCTTTATTGTTGTTTCCTCTTGTTCTGTTGTTTTAATTCTTAAGGATATTTACTTTAGGATATATGTATTTTTTTTATGTGTATTCTTTTTTCTTAAAAGCATAATGGATTATGGATATACTCATAGTGAACCAGATAGTGCAGTCTCATAACTCTCCGAGGGAAAGGTTCTGTGTGTGTGTGTGTGTGGGAGTGGCACACACGTGTTTGATTTATTACAGCATTGCTCAAGTTTTATGACAGTTTATCTCCACTGAAACCATAGGTTGACAGGGGAATAGAGTAACATAGCAGGGAATAATTTTTGGTTGTGTGTGTGTGTGGTGTGTGTGAGCAGCGTGGAAGACCCTGACTGATACAGGAACTAGTGGAACAGAAGTAGCTCATATCACAGCAATGTTACCATTGCATAAATGAAAGCTAGCAAGGAAATGTCAAAGAAGGCATTACTGAAAACCTGGATGAATTCTTTTCCTTTTTAAGTTTGCTGACTATGACATCATGCCTGGGACAGGACAAATTCCATCCTTGGTTTTCTGAACGGACTGTAAACTCTGTGGTTCTCTTCTAAACTGCAGTGATATAAATCAGGAATGTCATTATCCAAGACAATGGGTTTATACTGACGTTATACCAGTCATGTGAACTGAAATCAGCTTCTTTTCGGCTTCCCTGTCAAGACCCTCACCTTCTCAAGTTTTTAAACACTCAAGAAACACTTAACTTGTTTACACTCTTCCATTATTTTTTAAAGTTGTGTATCCCCTCTGATACCAGGGGAGTTGCTCCAAATTTGAACCTCTGGGACACAAAAATTTTGGGCCTTGCAATAAGAGACATGTGTCAGTGCACAGCAACTCTTACAAAGGTTGATTTTATGCCATAGCAAGAGCTTAAGTTGTCAAAAAGGCTGGTGATCTTCTAGCTCCAGAAACCCAGATCATAGACCACCATGTGTCTCTGTAGCTCATAAGTATCACGAGACTTTTAAGATATGACAACTGAATCAGTTTACCTGCAGCAACTCATATTTAAATGTATTTTTAATATAACCACTGTATTTTGCACTTGCAGTCTGGAGCCTGGAGTCAAGGTGAACTATATAACAAAATAATGTTTCTACAGACAGTCACCTTTTTGATCTTGGAAGCTATCTGCTTCATCTACTTCTCATAAGATTTTTATCTTTGCTGTACAAAATATCAGTAAGATCATATGAATAAATGATCATGGTTTCACCAATATCAACACAGTTCATTGGCCTGGTGTGGTGGCAGGAAATGCATTTAGCATTCAGTTAGACATCATGAGAGTCATGATTACTCAACTACCAGCATGTGACATGCACAGAAATATGGTATCCACTGTAAATTCAAAAAATATTTATGTATATTTAGTTACATTTTTTAAATATTGCTATTTAACAGACATTAATAAAAAAAAATTGAAGAACACAATGCTCTATTTGCATTACTCTGCTTCCCTTGCAATTCTTAGACATATGACTGAGACAAGTACAAATGCAGAAGTATTATTAATTACTGGTATTCCTTCCCAAAATCATGCATGTGTGAACGACTGGGAAGCCACGTTGGGCTGCATGCTTGAAGAGAGACAATTACAGGAAAAAGTAAGTAAACAAGAAGATTGCTTGAAGAGCACTAGAATCTTGGTTCCAAAAAAAAAAAAAAGAGAGAGAGCGAAAAAGAGAGACAAACAAACAAAAAGACAGAGAAAAAGCACCAACAATCACCAATGCTGATCAAAATATTTAAGAGTACATCTGGACAGCTTTCTTGCATTCTACTGACCTGTACCATGTAGAGTTACTCTTTTACTCAATTGCTTTGATTGATTAGATTTAATTTTCCCTCTCTTTATGAGTACTTATTTCCCCTTTGTGTTTTTCACTGCATGAGGGTTTTTTATTTGGGAGGGTTTTTTTCCTCAGATTTACTCTATTTTGCACAGATTATTGAATTTGTTAATTATTGAAAAAATAAGCATCTTTAAGTACTAGGTTTGACTTGTGAGGAATTCAGTGTGGTATCTGTAATTGAAACATAGGTTCATGAACAGACCTGTGAAATGCAACTCTTTACACACTGTGAGCCTACATGTCAACTACTGCATCAGGGAGATCAGAAAGTCATTTGAAGTAATACATACATAACTGAAAATTAAATGCTCAGATATTTATAGTATCCACTGAAGTGCAAATAAAACTGCTGTTTGTAAGTAAGTAGCTGTTTTATTTCATCTGGAGAACTTTAAAAAGGTCTTCTGTTAAACAACCTGAAAAGAAACATAAAAGACATTCCAATAGTCATACCCTACTAAAGATGATGCTGACAATAAAAAGAGATTACAATGCAATATAGATCTGTAATTGCAGTTTTAAGTTTTCAAAATCTCTCCAAAAGGTCTGGGAAACACATCCTCACCTGGAATAGACTCATGGATTGCACACAGGTTACTTTCAAAGCTCAGTGAAAACAAATGTCAGAGTGAAATGAACAGTAACCATACTTTTCTGCAGAAGAGGAACTACAGTACTGAGAGTAATTCGAACAGAAGAGATAAAACAGTAACATAGAAGTGATGTTCAAATGCATTGTCTAGAGATTGAAAAATAGGCTCCAGAAAATTAGTCAGAGATCTTTAATGTGTTTTACTTTCCGGTTGCATTCAGAGTGGGTTCATTCTTTTAAATCAATATGCATGCCACAAAATCAAATAGCTATTCTTCAAAGAACACTGATGAATCTTACCCAATTTAATATATTCTCCATACTCATATTGCAGGGAAATATGCACTGAACAAGGTAAAGCTAGGACAAAGCCTGTGCCCCTTATGATTACTTTATATAGCACTTTTGTTTCTGTCTTGAGAAATTAGGTGTTGACTGTTATCAGATTTTGTATTGGCTGTGGTGGAGACAGCTGTCAGAAGCAGCACAGCCCAAATATTTGAAGTGGGAATATACTGTGGCTTTTCTGTCAGCAGCACTGGGTACACTGCCAACAACATCCACAAGATTTTTGTTCTCCGGTGATCATCATCTTGCATTCCATAGTAGCACCACATGTACTGGAAAGAATGGAAAGAAAACAAAAACATTAAAGGATGAATATACGATTAAAGAGAATGCAAGAAAAAGGACTATTCCTCCTATGCTGGTTCACATTTCATCCTATATGATAAATTCCTTGTTATCTTCTCCAGGCCTTGCTTGATCCCAGTTTCTGGCCCCAAACAGGTGAGATCAGCAGGCAATGATGAGCCACAACATTTGAACACCTCCAGGCAGTGCTAGCTCAGTCACCTTTACACCTCCTACTGCAACTGGTGGCTTCTCCAAGCTAACTTACAAAACTCACCTATCTGCAAATAATTATAATTATTTTTATAACAATAAAGAATTTTGTGTTCTGTCAACACACTACATTGCTGTCTTCTGGAAACATACCTTTTACTTTTGATATCCTGCTTGTTTTAATACATCTAAGAGGCGTTTTTGTTATGTAAAATGGTTGTGAAGTTAAAGTGTATAAATTTGTTTGGGTATAGAAAGCTGCGTATCTGGTGGCGTGGTGGTTTGACCTTGACTGGACAACACGTGCCCACCAAAGCCACTTTGTCACTCCCCTCCTCAACTGGACAGGTGACAGAAGATATAACAAAAGGCTCATGGGTTGAGATAAGGATGGGGAGAGCACACTCACCAGTTACAGTCATGGGCAAAACAGTCTTGACCTGAGGAAATTAATTTAATTTATTACCAACCAAAATCAGAATCAGATAATGAGAAATAAATCCAAATCTTAAAACACTTTCCCCCCACCCTTCTCTCCTTCCTGGTTGCAACTTTACTCATTTTTCTTCCTCCTCTTCATCTGCAGGGGGACAGGAAATGGGGTCTGTGGTCATTTCATCATACATTGTCTCTGCTGCTCCTTCCTCCTCAGGGGGAGGACTCCTCACACCCTTCCCCTGCTCCTATGTAGGTTCCCCCCACAGGATACAGTCCTCCATGAACTTCTCTATGAGTCCTTCCCACAGGCTACAACCCTTCACAAACCTCTTCAGCATGGATCCCTTCCATGGGGTGCAGTCCTTCAGGAACAGGCTGCTCCAGCATGAGTCCTTTGTGGGACCACAGATCCTTCCAGGAACCTGCTGCAGCACAGGTTTCCCATGGGGTCACAGCCTCCTCTGGGAATCTACCTAGTCTGGCATGGGGTCCTTCATGGGCTGCAGGTGGATACCTTCTCCATCATGGACTGCAGAGGCACAGCTGCCTCACCATGGTCTTCATCACAGGCTGCAGAGGAATGTCTGCTCCGACACCTGGAGCACCCCCTCCCACTTCTCCTTCATGGACACTGGCGCCTGCAGGTCTGTTATTCAATTATTCTCACTCCTCTCTTTTCTGGCTGCTGTTGTTTGCTGCACATTCGGGATTTTTTCCTTCTAAACTCTCCTATCCCAGTGACACTGTCACCATCACTGATGGGCTCAGGCTTGGCCAGTGGCAGGTCTGTCTTGTTGCTGGCTGGCATTGGCTCTGTCAGACACGGGGGAAGCTTCTGGCAGCTTATCAGAGAATTTACTGTTGTAGTTCCACTGCTACCAAAACCTTGTCATGCAAACACAATACAAGTGGTATGAGAGAGAGTTTAAAACTGTACTAATAGAAATGTAAGAGTAGGATTTATTCTAATGATGGTAATAACAGAACATTCA